TGGTGCGTTGGTGTTGATGTCATTGCGGAAGGACTTGGGCGGGCCGTTCTTTTGGTTGCTCGACCGCTGGGACGAAGTGAGGCGGCTGGAATATAAATACCAGTTCTCCTCGGGAAGATGTTGACGGTGCCCGGGCAAGGGAGATCATCATCTCTGTGGACGTATTGTGCGCTAGGCATGTCTACAAGAGGAGCTATTGAGTGTCCAGGGTCGTTCGCAGTACCACCTGAAGTCGTTCCAACTGAAGTCGTTCCAACTGAAGTCGTTCGAACTGAAGTCGTTCCAACTGAAGTCGTTCCAACTGATTCAGGAATTTGGACCCCGAACGTGTCGAAAAGGGAGCTGAACGAAAGCGGTTGGAACTGGCCAGCGACAGGCTACGAGTCGTACTGGATGAGTCGTTTTTGGCTGCCGTTGGACAAGGAGGGTTTCGAATTGTTGGAACGCGATATTTCAGCTCGATCACACCAGTTTGGCCGAAAGGTTTGGGAGCGCAAAACGTCTGCTTTCTTGGATACTCTCAGAAACTCAAGACTCTCGGAAACGTGGGCACTAACAACGGACATGAAACGTCCAAATTACGTTCCCGTCTTAGCCAAAAGGGGGTCGAGAAATAAACCGGTTAATAGAGTGGTGAGTAAGTTCGAGACATACAAGATTTTGTATCGATCGATATCCGTAGATGCATGGAAGAGGCTCAGAACTATCAACGCTCGCAGTTTTGAGACGTGTGCACTTGCTTATGTGGAACTTGGTTCTATTATATCCAGCTATTTTCGTCACCCTTACGGTCTTGTGGACCCGGAAATCAAGACTGTGATTGAGAAGATGATGCCTTCCATTAAGAGTGGCTCTCTTGCGAAACGGCGGCGTTTGTGGATCGTGGGATGTCTTCTACAACACGCCCAGGCGTCCATACCCCGGCTCACGGAATTTTGCACGAAAGATTTGGAATATAGCCCCTGTTGGCCACAAGAGGGTCTCGGGCTTCACTGTCTCCTGGTCTCGGGGCACAAGGCTGCTTCTAAGAATTATTCGTCGATAAGATCGTGTTTATTGAAAGACATTTTATCAAAACTACCGGTTCTATCGGCGCAAGAATTCGCAGAATTAACACCGAGAAAGCTAAGGGACTGCATGAAGAACTCGGCCCTTGGAATGGCGGTCCAAAAGCCTTTGGGTCAAGGAAACTCTGATCAAACTGGAGGATCTTCGGAGGATGATCTTCCGGGCAATGCCCTAACAAATGAAGGACCTTTTAAGTCACAGCCAGATGTGTATGGGGAACCTCACGTCGATGAAGGCGGTTGGGATTGGACAAGTATCCCAGAACAAGAGTACGAGTCGTACTGGATGAGTCGCTTCTGGGTGCCATTGGACGATAAGGGATTCGATTTGTTGAAGGGAAGAATTTCAGCTTCAGCAGGCCTTCGTAGTGTGCAGTGGCGCGCCACAGGGGTTGCGTTCCTTAAAAGTCTCCTTAGCTCAGGGCTCGCACAGCCGTGGTCATTGGTAGAACAATTGGTGCGCCCAAATTACATCCCAGTCATTGCTAAGAGACGACGGGCTGCCCATCTGGCTAGAAACGATTTCGAAGCATACCAATGGCTGCATAGATCGATGTCCCAAAAGGCTTGGATGAAGCTGAGAACCGTGGGGCCAAAAAGCTTCGAGCGGTGTTCACTTGCATACGTGGAACTTGCCTCGATCATCTCCGCTTATTATCAATCCCCTTACGGCCTCGTCGACCTGGAGATCCAGGCCATAATCAACAGTGTGTTCGCTTGTAGTAAGGCAATACATCGACAGAGACGGCGGAGCTTGTGGACCGTGGGATGTCTTCTGCAACATGCTAAGGCTTCCATCCGACCGCTCATAGAATTTTGCGTCTACCAGTTGGGGTACAACCCCGGCTGGTCGAAAGAGAAACCCTTGTTCCAGTTTACCAGGCCATTTCCACGATTGTGGGCTTCTAAGAAGAGTCCCGCCATCCGTCTACGTTTGTTGGCTAAGCTCTTGATGGGGTTACCGGTAATTTCGGCCCAGAGATTCGCAACACTAACTGGAGAGGAGCTGAATGACTGCATATCCCACCCAGCTTGGCTGGCGTCCGTTCCGCCTTTGGACCAAGAAGGATGCCCCCCGGCTTCGGTGGAATGTTTGGCTACAGAAGGCGTAGCTACAGAAGGCGTAGCTACAGAAGGCGTAGCTACAGAGCAGGACGTGGGCCGTGTGCCTGGCACAGGCCCGATCCCGCTTCTCGTGTTGGTGGAGTACCTAAGACGGGGCGTGGCCAATAGGACCGCGATGACGCAAAAGAGAAAAAATCAGCAGGAACATTCTCCGGTGGCGAAGAAAAAGGTGGGCTTGAACGGAGCTGAGATACTTGTGCCTGAGGCTTGGTTGCAGCCGATGGTAGATATACCCAGTATGTCACATTCCGGCCCCTGCAACGATCTCATGGAAATCAGGCAACAGTCAAGAAATATACCGGCCATTCGACAGCTACAAGAGCTCGTTAATAACTACCCAGAATCTGGAGTAAATAGTGGGCTTTTGGACGCATTCGCCGAAATAACGTGGAAGGAATATGAGTCAGTTTTATCGCCTCTCCTGGACTACTTGATCAAGGAGCTGAACGGAGCCTCGACCACATCCTAAAGCACTCAACAGTGGTTGGAAAGGCCCCGCTATGTCTGTGGAGTAAGTGTGTATTATACACGCAGCCGAATTCTTGGCCATCGTTCTCCTCGTGGTGAGTATTGTTCATAATTGCTCTTCGAATTCTTGGCTAACTACTTGTGCGTTAATTGACTAGGACACCATTTTCTGACGTGACAGCCTCTCGTCTGCCGTCCGATTAGTACCTCAACCAACCATACATGAGTGCGATCATTATCCCCACAGCACAATCGGGATTGCCGTTAACTGCGTCTTGGATCGTCTTTTCACAGAAACAAATGGTGCCAGCAAGCCATCGGTATAGCCCTCGGGAGTCGACTATGTTCGACGTTTCATTCCCCGTCAACATTCCGATCCGAAGTCATGGGACAGAATGCCACCGACGCGCAGTCAATGAGTGACACCGGCGATCACACATGTCTGCAATCAATTTACCTCCCGGTGCAAAAAAGCGCATTCTCCACAGCCGGGGTCCTTGACATGTACGAAAGACGGCCGCCTTGTGCTGAGCACCTTCAGATTTGGTACCCTTCAGATTGCTTTTTTTGCCGTCCATATTGTTCTCGTTCCGAATGGCTACACGTCATTCCCGGATAGGCAGCCCGGGTAGATAGCCCCGGGTAGACCTTCAGCAATGGTCCTAACTCCCCTACCCTAGGTCTTCTCCCCTACCCTAGGTCTTCTCCCCCTGCCCTAGGTCTTCTCCCCCTACCCTAGGTCTTCTCCCCCTACCCTAGGTCTTCTCCCCCTACCCTAGGTCTTCTCCCCACCCTAGGTCTTCTCCCCTACCCTAGGTCTCTTCTCCCCTACCCTAGGTCTTCTCCTCGCTCTAGGAGCCCTTTCTTACCAGTCTCAGAGCTTGTACTGCTTGGTTCCTCTTACTTATGTATTTGTACTGCTTGGTTCCTCTTACTTATGTATTTGTACGGCTTGGTTCCTCTTACTTATGTATTTGTAGAGGAACAAGTTTATTTCCTGTCGACCAAGTAGTCACAGCAGTAAG